GGAATGATTGTGGTGGGGAGTTTGGTCAAACTATGGCAGCAATACGGCGAATGGTTGTGCTAAATCAAAGACGCCGCCTTCCGTGGATCCATTTAGTGCAGGCTATGTGCACTAAAGCTTCAGTCTCCTAGCTAGCATGTCAGAAGCTGCAATTCTTAAAAAAAAAATAAAAAAAAATAACTAAAGCAAGAAAATTCAGCAGCTTTTAGATCTTGTTGGTCCGACTTTGTCGAGACAATCTCGACGGAGCTATTGTACCCTCTCAGCTCTTCCACTTTCTACCACTTCCAGAGGTAGTTGAAAATGTATTTGACTGGCTGCTGCTCTTCCTACCATTTTCCATTGCCTCCTTTCACGTTCTCATGTAAATTGTACAAGCTTATTTCATAATATTAGATGAAAGATCAGAAAAGGCCCATACATATACCCTCACATAGACCCTCACCTCAAAGAAATCAGGAAAGTGGGGATGGATTAAAACAGCAGGTGTAAACGAGAATATGTTTCCTTTACTTGTTAGCCGATTGACCAAAACGCATCTTAATACCAGATGTGAACAGGTCCTCAGAGCAGCTCTGGAGATGAAGTTTATGTGCTCATGTCCTCATATAGGTACTGAGACTCCAGATGCTGAGTCATTCACACAGAGACACACAGAACATGCAGACTGCACATGCATTGACTGGCTGTTGTTAGGGTTAATTTGTTGTTGTGTGCCTGGCTGTTAGATTAATCCATATTGCTTAAAAATGTACGTAAAATGAGTTATCATGGTTATCAATATACATTTTATTGCAAGCTCAATATAATGTTTATCGCCCAGCACTATTGTAAGGTATAAGTGAACTGCTAAAAAGTGCAAAATCCCAGTTCTCCTAAACATGAGATGTGCTTTATGTTAAGTGCTTCAAACGAAATTGAAAGCATACAGTTTGCAGCTTGCTCTCCTGTCACATGCGTGTGATGTTTAATGCATTTGAGATGCATTTTCTTATGGTTGTGTCCTTATCTGTAAAAGTTAGAAAGTCACACGAGTATTTCCATTTTGTAACAAGGCTCATCCTGACAGCGTAGTAGAGTATCCATTCACAGACTTTACTGAAGGAACGGCTGTCAGTAAAACTGACAGAGCGCAACAGACAATTCTGACTGAAAGATATGTTTTCCTAATTATTTTGGATCCAAAAGCATTTCAAATATCTTCCCAATTTACAACAGCACCATAAACTGCAGTATGAAGGCTGTGTTGCAACTGGTTGAAGCAGTAATGACAGACTTTTTTTTTATTTAGAGATTTTGTTTAGTAAACCACTGTTTAATAAAAAAAAATTGTGTTTGTTCCCTCTGCTTTACCAAAAACACACCAAACGGTGAAACCAAGGTTTGCACTAAACCATCAATTCTGTGTACTGTCACACTCCTACTTCTAGAAATATAACAAAAAAATGAATTACATAGCAACTATATTCACTAAAAATGAAATTCTATCATTTATTATTCATGTTATTCCTAACTGATATACTGTTATTCTTCCATGGAATACAAAATGGAAGAATTGTGATGCATCTCAAAGCATTAAATAAGTGTCCTTTGAGGTATGAGATGCATGGAAATTGTTCGAATTACCATTTTGGCATATTTACACTACCGTTCAAACATTAATAATAAAAAAAAGGATCTGAGTCCTCTTTCAGGAACTGTGATAGTGTGAACAAAAAAAACTGGGTCCTTTTTCACTTGGTCCACTTAAAGGGGTCTGGGTTCAGTTCTTGTAAAGAGGACTCAAGTGTGAAAACACCCTTACATATGTAGGATGGTCAGCTAAAGTCAATGGTAACATTAACAATACAAAACTGATGTTACAATTCAAAAATGTTCGCCTGGGCATTAATTAATTTTTAAAATGTTGTGAGGAGTTGACCCTTTGCAAAGACCCGCCCCCCTAAGTTACTGTTGCTACTTTTGACAAGCCATGGCGCATTCGTTGACAAGAATGGTGCTTTTTGGTCAATAGATAAGCTTTTTGGCCTTCCACATTTAAAATCCTTTATACCTTGCCTTTGCCATACCAAGGTACAAAACAGAACCATCGTGTGCAACAAGAATAGAGTCAGATAGTGGCAGATCCTCCAGGAAAAGCCGATTCAGTCAGCCAGAGATGTATGTGAACACAATAAAACTATGAAGAAATAACATGAACAGAAAGTTGGTTTTGTGGAATGGCCAAGCCAGAGTCCTGCTGCAGAATGAGCTGAAGATTACAGTCCACGGAATCCATCCAACTAATCTGGTGAAGTTTGAATGCATTTGCATTGATGAATGATCCAGATTTTAAAGTGTGCAAAGCTCACATGCACACCGAAGACGACTCTGAAAGTCTGTCATGCTGGAGAACTGGGTGATTGTGTGTTAGAATATAATATTTTGAATCACAAATGTGTTGAATTTATTGGGTCACTTAGTCAAACTTGCAATGCAAAATGCAAAACTTACAAAATGCAATGGTGTCACTGTATAGATCACACATTTTAAAGGGATAGTTCAACCAAAAATTAGATTTCTGGCGTCATTTACTCATCTTCATTTTATTTTAAACCTGTATATCTTTGCTTTCATCTGTGAAAAGCATATTAAAGCAACATGAGTATGCACTTGAATGTGTTAAGTAAGTATTCATGTTTGTACTGTACACTTGGATTTCCACAGCTTCATTACCACAGTCTTATGATTAAGGAAAGTGTTGTTCAATAGCATTCAGAACAGCTATTCTGAATAACTAGCATGATATATTGTTTGTACTTGATGAATTGTTTGGTCTCTGCTCCCACAGGAGCGTGTGGTAGTAGAAAATGAGCACTGGTTGGTGGTGGTGCCATATTGGGCGACTTGGCCATTTCAGACACTGCTGTTGCCACGACGACATGTCCTCCGTCTCCCTGACCTCACGGCCCAAGAGAGAGACAGTAAGACTTTGTGTTTACATTATTATTATTATTATTATTATTATTATTATTATTATTAATAAATGTTTGTGGCAATATGTGAATATGTGGCATATTATGTTGCAGTTTATCAAAATTATACTGTGCTTCTGCAAAGTTGAAAATAATTATTGCTTGTTTGTTTGTTTATTAATTAATTCATACATTCTAGTTATATATAAGTTACGAAGTATATACAGTGGGTACGGAAAGTATTCAGACCCCCTTATTTTAGCAAATGGCTGCAATATAACAAAGAGTGAAAAATTTAAGGGGGTCTGAATACTTTCCGTACCCACTGTATATCATTTATGTATTTATATATTATGTATTTATATGTACATTTATACCATTTTTATATTATATAATTGTATTATTGTATAATTATTTACACACACACACACACACACACTCTTATATTTTTTTATATTTTTTTAGAGAGAGAGAGGTATATACAAATTTTTTTGTGACGAGTGACTTGACCTTTAATAAAAAATGTTTCATTTATTATTTTTTATTTATTTATTTACTTACTTAGCTACACCTGCCAATGGTGAAAAGTTTAATTTATTTTAAATAAATAAATACATACATACATACATACATACATACATACTTTGAGCCGGTAATTGGTCTCATATTGTTCTGCAGTACATGTATGTATAAATCTCAATAGCACAAAAAAAGCAAAAGATATCACAGTTCAGCTAAATTTATTGTGTTACTTTTACCTTTGGCTGTGACTTTATCATTCCATTTGGACTGAATTATGAGGATGTTTTCCCCCTCACAGTCAAATTTATTTTTACGCTGTAAATTCTGTCAGTCACGAAAAGAGCCGCGGGAGAGAGCTCACTTTTATAAACTCCCTTTGGTTTGCCGTCTGTGCTTAACATTTCTGTCTGAACCTTTAAAGACACCTCGCTGTATCTCTTCCTCACGACTGCTTTGACAAAATATCTTCTTAAAACCTCACGTCTTCTTGTCACATCGCCAGTGGCCGTTTCCCGTGTCAAACTTGACACACACGTAGACACACACTCATACACACCTCCGCACTTCTCAGTTGTTATTAAAGTTGCCCTGTCAGTGCCAGAAAAAGTAAAGGAGAGGCTTTCGAAGTGAAGCTGTGACACCAGATAAACATTCACCTCCTGGATACGCGTCTCTCACGCTCGCAGGCTTAGTTCTGACAGACTTAATCCAGTATGTAAATAAACGTCAGGGAAATTACCGAGCTGGTCAGCCGTTGTCAGAAAGAGCGGTGGGGAACTACACTAGATCACAACCCGCTTTGAGCCTGCCAATTATAGAGGCCATCACCCAGTCGACATTCTAACGCTTTGAGCCTCGAGGGCTGTTGTTTGTTTTTGTGATAAAGCGCTGTTTTGAGTTGTAGTTTGACTGCTTGATGACACATGTTGATGCTATTGTGGCATCTTCTTTCTTTGGAGAATTTATTGCCTTTTATGTTTGCGGAGATAATAAACCCGAGCGCTAATCCAATTTCGTGAATATACCACTTCGAATCGCAGTGCTTAATGTATACATCGTGCTAGAATGCTAGCAACAGTCCAATGGTGATCTAAAGGATGCTTGTCTTTTTAAATATTCATGAGTTTTATAGAAACTTTCACAGACTGTGTGTTGGTTTCAGTGTTTGAAGGAAACATGAAGAGACGACAAATGCGCTAACTGGATTAGCAAAAAACGTGATCCACTTTGCAGCACATTCTGGTCAATCTATGACATAAAACAACCAACCATAGATGTTTTTATTTATCATTAAGGGTACTTTTTTATCTGAAATAGTTGATACCATAATAATCTCTTAAATAAAAGAAGTGTGCTTAATTGTACTGAATGTGCACTTATCTAACTATTAACTGACACCCACCCTTTTTGAGCATAGATGTGAAAATCTGAATTTGGTTGTAATTCACAAACGCTTTGGACCTAAGGTTGGTCTCATTTTAAAGAAGACAAGCAGATTATCGCTGAAGTGAAAGCATAAAAAAAAAAATCAAAGTGTAAAGTTACAGAAGTTTGAGTTTACTGTAAAGAAAATGTACTACATTAAAAATTTTAATTTTATATAAAATAAATATTTAACAAAATATTTTGCAATCTAATACTGTTATAAAATCAAAGCCATATGTCTAACAAAGTTACGTTCCAAATTTGAAGTCGATATCACAAAAATTGAGGGTCCTGTGAAATTTTATTTAGGTGCTATACAAAAAAAAAAGCCACTGGGTGACACCCAAACTCTATTGAATTATATTAATACATTTCCCTGTTGACAAATTTGTAAATTTCTATCAGAATATTACTTCCATCACAAAATAATGGGAAAACTGGGACTCACACCTTTTGAACGATATGTGTTTTGTCAAGATTAGAAAACGTTTTGATTATAAAATATTGTAGTCAAATTTGTAATATGACACTTGTCACCGCCCACTAGGGGGAGGAGCTTTTAAAAGGATTTAAAGTACCATTTCCATGGTAACGCAATGTCTGACATTTAACAAGTTAAAGTACATTTTTACATAAAAAACATGTACTTAAGTGGGTCAATAAAACACTCTAAAGTTCAGCTAACTGCATTTATTATAAATTTGAACTATAATACATTTACATTTATTTGCACTTAACATGATTACTGAAATAAATGAACTTTTCCACGACATTCTAATTTATTGAGATGCACCTGTAAGTGTCTGAAATCATTACATTGATTCACATGTTCTCACAAGCATATTCTTTTAAAGTATATTGTTTATGTAATAAGTACTATTTAAAAAAAATATATACTGAAGTGTACTTCTTTTTCTCAAGGGAGACAAATTGTGGGGGAAAATGTATATGTTGGTTCATAACTGTATAGAAAGCAGTTTAGAAAGAGTTTTTTTTTTTCAAGAAAATAACTATTTCAAATGTGAAAGCCAATAAATGTCTTGATCAATGACACAAAAGTGATAGTTCATAGATAAACTATACTGACCATTGCATTCAACAATCTTCTGTCAGCGTCAGTAGGCCTACATTTGATAACTGTGCTGGTCCCTGTTGAAAATTTCATAATTTGCACAGAGACCATTTGCTCACTCTTTCTGATATGCACATAAAAATGCATCAATCATGCAGATGAACAGTCTAATGTATAATGTAGATGAAAATAGGCCTCATCAGCTCTTGTTTAACATGGAGATTGGGAAATTGTTTCGAATTGTCTGTGAGCTGTGACGCTCCCCCATTGTTCCAGTCGAGGAGTCTGCCTAAGGATCACAGACTTCCAGCGGAGCATGGAATCTATTTTATCGGCTGACAAACCAAACATTTCCCTGAGTAAGTGCCTGGGCTCTCAGCAGTTTTTGGCCAACTCTTTCAGACTTTTTCAGACCAAGAGGCTTAATTTGAATGCATGTTACTCATTATTGCTTAGTTAATACACACTTTCTTATCTGACAATAACAAAAGGTGTTTTCATGCTTGACTTGTTTCCAGAGAGTCATCCATAAGAATTAAACTTACATGTGTACTCTGAAGATGAACTCGGCACATGGTCTGAAGATGGTTGGCTTTGTGTTTACAACAATTTTGGGTGTTACATGCAGTGATGCAGCAGATTACTGCAATATGCCGTACTTCACTAGGACTGTACAGCATCACTGATCCACTCTGACATGAATTGGCTCTTAAGAAATGTTGAATGTGGGCTTGAATACATCGCACCTTTGAAATATGTTTGGTTGAAACCCTATCCTATATAATTTGATCATAATTTTATAAATAACTGCTGCCACAATTGCAAGAACTTGTAGGTGGTTCCTGAACAAGATGCAGTTATTTTGTGATAAAAAACAAAAAAACAACAACATGTGAATTCACCCCGTATTGTGAATGGAAAATATTTTTTTTTATTTATTTTTTTTAAGTTGTTTTATTTTTTTCAAAATTATTTTTTTTCTCCCCGGATTCCGATTTAATGGTTAAATTAAATATTAGTAATCAATAAGCATGTCTAATTTGAAATACTGAAACTTTTATAACAACAATGTAACAACAATGTATTAAAAGTTAAAAACAATGACATTTAAATGAAAATTTTTAAAAGCCCTATGAAGCCTATGAATGTTATTTTTTATTTTTATTTTTTTGCCTAATTCCATTTTATTTTCCCAAATTCAGTTTTTTTCCCCCTCATTCTATCATTTCTGGATTCTGTTTTAATGGATTAATTACATTTTAATTATCAAAAGGCATGTCTAATCAATTGAATTTATAAAACGTTAACCCTTTAAAGATGTATTTTAATTTTTGCAATAATGGAGCCCTATGAATTGTTTTATCTTTTCAAAAATTCTGTGCCGTCTGTTTTTTTGTCTGTCAGTCTTTTCTGGATTTTTAAAATTAATTTAATACAAAAATCTATTATCAAAAACAGTGCCCATCAAATGAAAGCCTGAAACATAATAATTTAATTAATCTTTTAATCAAATAAAAATTTAACAATTTATTTATATTTTTTCTGGCAAACAAAGTGCAGCACAACAGAGCTTTACTGTTAAAATGAATGTAAGAACAATTGTGTGATATTCCTTAAATACAATTGTAATAATTAATTTTTTTATTACTTTGAGAAGTACTTTCTACTGTAAAATAGTAATAAATTTGTCACAATTAAAGTTAAATTTACAAAAATATTTGAATAACTGACAAAAACACCATTCACACAGAGACATACAGAACATTGCAGACTTAATATTTTAATAGTAGTCTTTTTATGCTTTAATATTCACAGACACTAGCATAACAGAAAACACCATATTGCAATTTGATTCAGTGTACAGCTCTACTTTTATATTTATTCACCCAAAATTTGACAAATTCTGTGACATTTTCCGTTTTTGTGTCTGGATTCTGTGATTCCATCTGTGTTCTGCATCGCTGGTCACTGGTCACAACCACAAAGAACCAAAATGATCAGCGGTTTTCAAACGTTTTGGACCTGTATCCTTTGGGTTGAAAACAGATATCTGTGACTACTAAACCACATCATGCCATAAAGGTGCAACTACCCAAATGCAGCATCTTGAGAATAAATATTGTCAAACTTTGGTTTCTTTTAACTTGTTAAACCAAGAAGTGTGATGTTGTTTTTTGGCTCAGCTGTTCCACTATCAAAGTTTATTAAATCTAAGCCCTGATTTTACTGTCATTATTTTTTAAATTACAAAGGCAGCTGTTGTTTTCCTGGGAAAAACAAGCTTGTATTCACCAGCATGTCTTGAAATCATAAATCCCTCTTGAAGGACAAATGCATTTTACTGACTGGAGCGGTCAAAAGGTTGCTTCTTTCTGAAACGATACATGTTGTCATTTCATTTAGCAAGGGAGACGCAAACCATCCATCTTAGTTTTGGTGGCTATGTGTGTGAGTCTAGGTTTGTTTGGCTGAAAAACAAAATGAATGCACCTCCTGGCCATGAAAGGTGCTCGGGTGAAGTGCATGGCGTCTGTAATGAAACCAGGCTGGATAAAACCCAAGCAATATTGGTGGAAAATTGAAGTCAGTTCTTCCCAGTTGAACCTCTCTTTCCTTTCCCGCAGGTCTGGCATCCATAATGAAAAGACTCCTGACGAAATATGACAACCTCTTTGAGGTCTCCTTCCCCTATTCAATGGGATGGCACGGTAAGAGAATGCATCTGATATTACAATCATAGAGGAGAAGTGGAGGAAAATCAGCAATGAGCCTTTTCCCCCACATACAGGAGGTGTTGCCACTCGTCTTGTTTCTATGGAGAACAATAAAAAGGAGGCAGGGAAAGATGCTCCCTTCCTTTTTTATTGCCCTCTGCTCAGTAACTTGTGTCATTGTCTACGGTTCAGTGTTGCATGTCAGCTGTGCAAAACGGTTCGAGAATGGATGTTAAAATGACTCGTGGCCTCAAGTAAAACTGTCGAGGTGTTTGACAAATTGCTTGCGGATTAAGCTCTCTGATGGCTCTTTACTCAATAGTGCAAAAATGCTTTAAATATTTTTTCCTTGATAATGGGAAATGCGGGCTTGACTCATCAGAGGCTGATGAAATATTCATAAGCAATATTACTCTCTGGGTGATTACTGTTGTATGCTCTTCTCAAAACGCTGCTGTGAATGTAAACTCACAGATATGCTGGAGGGTGTGACTGAAGTACACATACTGAAGAAGCTTATTCAGGATAGAAATGAAAAGACTCCTGACGAAATATGACAACCTCTTTGAGGTCTCCTTCCCCTATTCAATGGGATGGCACGGTAAGAGAATGCATCTGATATTACAATCATAGAGGAGAAGTGGAGGAAAATCAGCAATGAGCCTTTTCCCCCACATACAGGAGGTGTTGCCACTCGTCTTGTTTCTATGGAGAACAATAAAAAGGAGGCAGGGAAAGATGCTCCCTTCCTTTTTTATTGCCCTCTGCTCAGTAACTTGTGTCATTGTCTACGGTTCAGTGTTGCATGTCAGCTGTGCAAAACGGTTCGAGAATGGATGTTAAAATGACTCGTGGCCTCAAGTAAAACTGTCGAGGTGTTTGACAAATTGCTTGCGGATTAAGCTCTCTGATGGCTCTTTACTCAATAGTGCAAAAATGCTTTAAATATTTTTTCCTTGATAATGGGAAATGCGGGCTTGACTCATCAGAGGCTGATGAATTATTCATAAGCAATATTACTCTCTGGGTGATTACTGTTGTATGCTCTTCTCAAAACGCTGCTGTGAATGTAAACTCACAGATATGCTGGAGGGTGTGACTGAAGTACACATACTGAAGAAGCTTATTCAGGATAGATAGATAGATAGATAGATAGATAGATGGATGGGCAGATAGATAGACAGACAGACAGACAGACAGACAGACAGACAGACAGACAGATAATCACTGGGTCAACTATCCATATATTGTTATAAATCTGAATAAATAAATGTTAATCCTGAATGGACAGCTGAAAAATTGTGAAAACTGGAATATGTAGTCATCAGTCTGAATATAATACACTGCATATATATTCCCATCATGCCACACACGTTCACTGTCAAAGAGTCGCTCGTGGTGAAGCATCGCTGCATGCCTGTTGAAACAATGTTAGCAGAGAATGATTGACACGTTATGCTGCGCTCTAGACCCTGGACGTCCTTCTCAGAGCTGCGGCCGAGAGTCTGCCACGGGACGCGGCGCAGAGCCCAATTTCATCTCCAGTCCCGTTATGGCCTCAGCCGACCGACCGCTGCACACTCAGATGATTCTCATAGTCTGTTACTGTCAGGCCACAAATCTGACACTTGTCGCCCGTAAACCTGCGAATCTCTGACCTATTGCAATGCAAGGTATAGCGCTGAGCATTTCCCAGCATGCTCTGTCTTGAATTGACTCAGCCATCATCGGTTTCTATGGAACGGCTTAATGAAACCGATTTTCTGCCATCCTCTCTTGCGCCTCCATGGATTACAACTTACACTTAATGCCCACAATGTTCATTATTTGATGATGATATAATCACTGGTGCTCTGCTGGATTGATTACATCACTGACGTGCACGGCTGTTGTTTTACCCAGAGTGCATCAGCAGCGAGAGCATCCATCATGTAAATGATTCATTCGCTTCATTTGGCTCGCATTTGCCAGGCAGCCGAGCGTCCGCGAGCTTCCACCGCGCTGTTACAATTAGTGATGTGTGAATTTAAAAGGGAAGAGAGAGATAACGAGATGCTTCTGCCATCAGTGAATATGTAAAAGGACTTTGTTAACACGGTCCGAGACCTGAGACCTCACACACTGGTCCAGTCAATTAATGTGCAGTTTGACTACCTTTTCTGTGCTGGAAATGTAAAGTGCAGTAGTGTTGGATAGTTTGAATTTAGGCTTATAATTAAAAGAGTTCTGCCAAAAAAAAATAAAAAAAATCTGCTGTGTAGCAGGAAAATAGTGCAAGTAGGAGGAAAATTACTTCTTCTGGGTTGTTCTGATTAACACCTCGGCACTGAACTACACATTTTTATGTTTAATGTCATACCAAAAAATACTATTTCTGCTTCTGGATGGGTTTTTATTTTACCCCCTACTTTTTACCATGCCTTCATAATTTTTTTTTGTTGCTATTTTTGATCCATTTTTAAGGGATAGTTCACCAAAAAATAAAACATTTGTCATATATATATATACATGGGTGACATTGGGGGGGGCAAAGGGGGGCAATTGTTAGTCATGGCATCCCTGATGTCGGCCCCGCTGCAATTGGAGCGCTTAGCCAAGCGCTAAATACCCTCAACGTGTTTTTGCAGCGTTAAGCAATGTAACCAATCACAGACATACTTTTTACTTTTACTTTTACTTTTAGTCATTTAGCAGACGCTTTTATCCAAAGCGACTTACAAATAACATATCTGTTGATTTCTTAAACGCAATGGCCAATCAGAAATGTTTTGTCAGAATTCACTCACCGCTGAAAGCGCCGCAGTTTTTAAGTTCAGTTTTGCATGCTCGTGAATCATCTCATGACTAAGTGCAGACGCGATGTAAATAAGAGATTCATTGTGCAGTTTAGAGAGCTTCATTGATTATAACGGAACTTTGTAAGATCGCGATGAACGAAGTGGAGTGAAGCTTTAGTGATAAAGGGAGCGCGCTTTGCACACTTTCTAGGGTATATAATCCATTCAGAATTTGTATGAAACTTTCGTTTTTCGGACATATAGGCCTAGGCTACACCCTGCAAAGTTTCGGGAATGACATCCGCATATTTATGCGGGATTCACTCGAAATAGCAGTGATTGGCAATGGACGGAACATAAAATATGTTGATTTAATTCTGGAACCGGTCCTGGCCAAACCTCCACAGCGTGCTTCCTGAGCGAGATCTAATTCACGGACCAAAAGCGTGTGTAAACTATATTGAGATCGGGACATATCAACCAGTAATTTCATTTCATTTCTAGTAACAGACGGTAGAAAGATCAGCAATGAATGGTATGCGATTTATGACAGAATATAGTCCCACAACTGATCGTTTATTTTTTCCTCACGCGTCTCGCTTTTGGTAACAACGATTCAAAACGAAAACATTTCGAGTGACACGGGAAGAAGACACGGAAAACTTCAGTGAACATCAGAAAAGCAGCGTGCACACTTCTGGTTAAAAATGAAAGGCCATCAACTGACAAACGGGAAGCATCACCATTTAAGTCAGCAGCAAGAGCCAAAGCTAGTCCACAGTTTACTAAACGATGGCAACCTCTTAAGTTATTCTTCACTGTGTTGGATTGACTGCTTTGATGCTTTGCAATACGGTAGGGCATTGTTTTGATGCTTACATCCGAAAAAAAAATTT